TTGTGTACCCGGTTGACCTTGCAAATATTCTTATATGTGAAATTTACACAGGCGGTCAGAAGGAAACCGGTGACGATGGAGGGACTTTCCTCCACCTTAAGTGGAGCTGAACAAAATCACAGATCGTTTGGGCTACCTAAGAACGGTGGTGTCTGGTGCAGTGACAAAGTTAAGTAAGGTGCCCGGAAGCAAAAATCTACTTTACCGGTTAGCATGGTCGCATAGTTCACTGCGAAGCCAGGACTGCTATGATGTTATGGTCAATGGGTGAGGGCAGTTACTTTCCTCTGAATCGTGAAGCACAGGGTGTGCACATTCAAGACAACAGTAAAATAATGTAGGGTGAATTGGTATACAGCTAGTTGAGTAAATGTGGAGCACGGTCGCTAAGGGACAAGTACACGCCTTTTGGTTGCAGCTTGTGACTTTATCCCACAATTAATATCCCGGTTACCATAGTGGATTTATGCGAATCGTCAAGATGACGACTCGCCCGTTGTTAATGTCTGGGATATTAGTTGCATTAGAATGACTTTCTCTGCTGCGGGATCGGACGCATGATCGATCTTACGGTGATAAAAGAAAGGGTTGAGCCACAGGTATCGCTTTACTGAGACCGTTTTTATGCTCGCACAGTTCGTCACAAGTCTGCAACTGTCAATTGCCTATCCAGGAAGAGCTAGTTGCTTTTGAATTGGGTTTCACAGTGAATCTATGTTTACGTCATGGGGGAGATGGAACCATTTAGGTGCCTAAGATAGCTTCAACTCAAAGTGATCTGTGTGGCCGAAGTGTTTTGGGCTCTCCTTTTAGATGAAGCTATCCGGCTGTACGCAGTGGACTGGACTGGAACCAGAGAACTGGCCATAACCAAGGTGGCCTTCGTCTAGGCAGAGGCTGCACTGACCAAAGCTTCACTTTACGTCGGGTACTTAAACACCGTTACCAGTTCCAACAGCCTACGTTGGTGTGCTTCGTTGATTTTCGAGCTGGCTTTGTCTCAGTTGACTGTGAAGCATTCTGGAGAACCCTAATTGATGATGGGGCGCCTGTTAAACACGTTAACTTGATGAAATCATACAACTGTTGCGTGAAGGTCCGGAGTCGTATCTATGGAGAAGAAACAAAGCAATTCGACATCGATACTGGAATTTGATAGGGTTGCCCACTTCCGCTAGTGCTATTCAACTTCGCAGTCGATTGGGTTATACACCATGCCCGTGAGGGCCATCGTGATGTTAAGTTAGCCATAACTACTGCCTGCCAGACCTAGAACTTGTTGACGATATCGCCATTCTTGCAAAACTTCTTATATCACCTTGGTCACTGCTAAATCGTGTCGGCCAATCATCCCCTCTGATCAGTAATGAAGTTAACATCAGCAAGACGAAGTACTTCTTCTCGTTAGCCATCCAGTCCGCCCCATCGCTCTCCCTACATGAACAAATTCTCGGGTCTGTTCCTGAGTTCAAATACCTTGGATCCACTATTCTCCCCATCGGAATTCCGGAATCGTATTGGTAGCGCTATCACAGGTGAGAAGCACGTTGTGGTGAAGGACTGCAATTAGTATGGAAATGAAAATCCGAGTATTCACAGCAACAATTCGTGATATTTTGTGATAGGATTACGAAACATGGCCGCTGAGATCCGATGACACCCGAAAGCTGGAATTCTTTGACCATTGGTGTCTAAGGCTTATATTGAAAACGCAGTGGCATGAGCGTATTATCAAGTAAGGAATCCGTAAGCACTGTTAAGCTCTTCCGAAGCTTTCAGCGCTCATCCAACGCCGCAGACTTCAGTGGTTCGGTCACGTCCTCCGCAGACCAGACACTAACTTCACCAGAACCGTGGTTTCACCCTCGCCTTGCTAGAATTAGTTTGGTTGCCGTGGTTGGCAACTGAAAACGCGGCTAGCTGCAGTGAAATCGGATGTCGGTCTTCTGGGACTTCTTGTTGTGCCTGGCGTTCGTCACTGGAAATATCATTGGATCAGTATCTGCGTGGAACTGGCCGCCGCGATAGGGCATTTGCAAACCGCGACATACATGAGGCCGGTTCATCCGGCCACAGGATCTAGCCGCAGTAAAGTAAAATAGTAATTAAATGGACTCAACTTGACTAAACTCGTACTGTCTACCGCAAAACAGGTTTATAACTAAGAACCCAAGACTTTAACAGAAATCCATTCGAAGTCAGGATATCTTCTCGAGTGAGTTTCTACATTTGAATGACTCCAGTGTAGTTTTGCAACTTTGCATTGGCTGTCTGATGTCAACGGCAGCGAGAACATCATTTGAATCGCTATTACTTTCCTGACAGGTCAACTGTCGTGCGTTCGCTTCTAGCCACTTAAAGATTTGTAGAAAAAACGTACTCGTAACGCCAGTCATTTGTAAATACGCTGTGGCACATAAACGAACTTATTTGATGCCGCACTAAAAGAAGCATGTCTAAACTCTGCAACAGACTTCTTTCTCATACTTGGTGGCTAACCACGCCAGTTAAAGCATAAAAACCACGTGTGCTGATAACCATAAACCTAGTCCAGTCCTTGATGATATTGTACCACATATGGTCTATATGACAGAAATTCCCCGCCACTAGCCAATTGTCCATCATTTTGTCTCCCAATAGGTGGTTAATTTTCAAGCTCAGTCAAAGCGTTCGGTGATTTTGTTCAATTGTGGCTACCGTTCGTAGTTGAACGGCAACTGCCTGGTATGTTCAGGTGGTACCTGGTCTGGGAGAGCACTTGGCCAACTGAGTTATATGGTGGTTAGCTACCCAAACATAACTGGCGCACTGGTAACCCAGTGTAGAAACCTACTCAGGAATTGGATTCTCTATCTGAGCGATTGTTGGATGGGATCGAGCAGTGTACCAAGTGGCCAACCTTTTGGTTCAGCCTACCTGTTGCACGCTGATGTGGTTTTCTGTGGTACCGAGTAAGTCGCCAAAATAGTGAATACTAGACACTTAGAATACAGAACGACATTATTTGTATGTTTACTCTATCGATCTTTGATCGGTCAGGACAAGCAGTTAATGCTTATTAGGGTAGTGCATTAACTTATTTAGGTGAGATAAGCATCTTGCCTCGACTATTGATTCAGGCCAGCTGCCCCAATAATTCCCCACCAGACACAAAGCACAAAAGACAGCAGATGGCTTCAGACCTGGTACTATACAACGGTGACGTTGCCCGCGTCTACCGCTTGGTGTGCATCTAGAGGAAGGGCTAAGCATGGGGAAAGGATCTAGATTAAATAATGATGGATTATGGTGAGTAACGACGATATTCCTAATTGGGTTTCTAACTTCAATAACCACAGGCCAAACCGCAACGCGCACGTCCAGCGGATCAAAAAGAAGCATTGGAACGCCTCGCGATTTTACCTGTCATGTTGTGTACGCATTCTTCCTTCAATTGTTCCAAACCGCGAAACCAATTAAAGCTAGTAATGTATACTACAACCTGCAATCATTTAAAGTGATCTTTTGGAAAAGATGTCAATGTTAAAGTACAGATAAAATTGCCCAAATAGGGCTCATTATAGCGTAGTGGCGACGCGCGGAGCTACAGAAAAGCAACCTGGTCCGGCCATACCTGCACTTCACCAGCTTCACACCAGTTGCGGTACATAGCGGACCCTTGTGGAAAATTGGTTAGTCAGTGCTGACGAAATTGCTCGCGGAGTGTCTAAGCCTACTGGACTAGAGTTAAGTACAACGACACATCGTTGCAAAATGGTTATCCCGTTAGATTTATGAGGAGAGACAGCACCCGAACAGCGAGGCCCGAAAGTCTTGGTTCATACGGTAGCCAAGAAAAGATATATATTGAGTTGTCTTTCAAGGGTGACTTTACTATATTGAAAACCATGAAACGAGTAATCTCTGCTACACAGAGAAGTTACTGTGCTGCTCAGGTTGTGGTCATCAATTGAACCTGTAACTTGCCGGTGCCTCCAACGAAAGAAGCTCACACGATAAGGGCCAACTCACACTGCATATACAAATTCGTATGCGACTGCGGAGACAGTTACATAGGAAGAACCAATCGGTCTTTGACTTCCCGAATAAAGGAACACGTGCCAAGGTGGGTTCAACGTGAAACTGATCAGCATCCCTGCCGCACAGAAGTCCCGTCCTTGCGCAAGCCGCCAGCCTTTTCAATAGGAAAAGACCTACTGACTGCGCGTCACCGGATAGAGGTTGGATCAGAGTTTACACTTGTATTACGTCACCCTAATCCCCGCTTCCTCCGTTTCGCCAAGGCCGTTGAGATAAGCCGGCTCTGTGTGTTCAAAAGCAATTATTTGTCAGCTTAAGACTGCCGTGGACATAGGGATGGAAGTTCCGCCGTTCATTTTGTACATCATCCTTATTTGGTCACACACATAGTTAAGTAGAAAGTTGCATACCGGTTATTATTAATGGCACTGAGGAGACAATACGAAATGCATGCATCTACCAGTTTTCGTCTTCTTACCGTGCTTTTCAAAATTGCTCAAGTTTATGTGCTCCTCTAGACGTAGACATGTTTGTTACAAAGAAAAACTATAAGCTACATTAAACATTCATTGACAATAGAGTTGCAGAACAAAATTTCTTCCCGTTGAGTAGTTCACACATGGTTTTATGCGTCTTACAAGTCCACTGCCTTTGGTTTTCTCAAGATGATGGAAATGATTTGATGTATTAAGATGGAGAGTGTTCCCGCCGTTTATTAAGGTTTACACATTGCACGCCTTTAAACGTTTTTGACAAAAGCGGATGTTTTTTCTAGTTAATTTATGTTGATTTATGTCTATTTTTCAAATGCTTAAATAAAATATCAAGTTGAGATCGTGGTGCAGTTTTGACAGTCTTTTTGCTTTTAAGCTAAATTCTACGCGGTGCCACTTGTGTAAGCGAGCTAAGCCATTCCATGTGCTGCTTCTTAGTGATGTACTGGTACCATTTTTGTCGCTCGTAACGATTTGGTAAAGAAATCATTTCTTCCGTCCATGAGGTGAACAAGGACGAAGAAGCAAACCAGCGGCGATTGTGTCTTTTAGATTCCTGTTGTTGTCAGCTATAGCCTGCGAAACAGATCCTCCACACTTCCGGACATTTCTCATTGACTGAAAATATTTCTCTATAGCAGCGCGGAAGCCTTCAGCAGTCTCTGCCAGTTCCCTAGTCGTTTGACGCCAATTTTCATACAAATGTTGCTTTAATCGCTCTTCATCGAACTCCTCTGGACGTCCAGAACGAGATGCGACTTTGAGGGCAAAGGTTCCATTTCTGAACTTATCATAGCAATCACGAGCAATTCTTTCAGTTATGGCAGCAACTCCATACACAGCGCAAATGTCGAGAGCAGCTTTTTCAGCCTGGGAACCTACATGCAACGCAGAAAGTAGGAGGTGCATTTAATGTTCCTTTTTCTCATATTGACGTTCTATAGTTATGATCTGAAAAATAGACAAAGTTCATGTAAGTTAATTCGAAATGAACAGCAAAATAGGATAGAAGATCTCCTTCGAATGATTTAATTTATGCCAAAAATATTTAAAAGCATCGGAATGGTATTTACATGACAGCGGGAACTTAGTTGCCAATCCAATAGTTTTGTTTTGGCTTGTTTTTATGGGTTACGGTATTATTTGACTGGATGAAATGCTATCAGAGCACAATCGATTCATTCCTTGAACACAGAGCATGAAGGACTGTTATGACTGCTTCTAAGAGGGAATTTCTTGGGGCAAACATGCGCTAGGAAGAACTCCCCTGTAGACCCAAGCACTCTGTATTGTTCTTCCAGTTTGAGACAGTGGACTCTAAGTCTATTGTTACGACTGAGCTCAAGCATACGATAGGATACATGATTATGATTGCTTAATAGCTAATGGTGTCCAATGAAAAATCTAAGGCTGCTCTGTCCTCGTTCGCTTTGCAGGTGATATAGCGCTTTGGCGTTTTTGATATCCCGAAGATATCCTTTCTGCGGGATCTGCCGTGTTTGAATAGCATATTTCAAGTGGGACAAGTATAATAAGAAAATAGTAGGGAGAAGATGGATGAATCGAGGTGAACCAAAGCTATTCGTAAGAAAGTTAGACTTCAAATGCGAATGTGTTTAACCATGGTAGGCTTTTGACCAATATAGCAGGGTATGGTATTGCTAACCCTCTACATTTTGGTTCTCTTCGTAATTTACCGACAGAACCCAAGCAATCAATATACCTAATCACACATCAGGTCGTACCCTGTGACAAGTGACCTTGTTTAAGGCATCTTTCTCGGACCACTTCACTTCCTGATGTATATAAAAGACATTTTTGATGTTCTTGTCTAGAGTAGGCCCTACATGTTTGCAGACGATATAAAAGTTGTGTACACATTTGATCTCAGGAATCAAGAGCCCATGTTTCGAAACATGTAAATTGGCCTCAATGTACTTGAATTATGATGTTGCACTTCAAAACTAAATTTCTCCATCGAAAAGAGTAATGTCATCTCATACAAATGTGATGTGAATGCTCCACCGCTAACCTACTTCCGCAAACCCCCAGCATATTGTAACCAAGTAAGAGACTTAGGGCTTCACTACTCCAGCAGCCTGAACTTCTCCGAACATGTACAATACACTGTCGCTAAAGCCAAGAAAAAGAATACACTGTTTCTCAAACTCTTTACCTTAACAAATGCTAAACTTGCACTCTACATAACTTGTTTACGTTCAATGTTATAGTACTGCTGCATGGTATTCGGCAATGCAAGGCAGAGTGACACAGCGGCAATAGAGCGCGTTCAGGTTGCTATTGCAAGAGAGATCCTGGGCTTTACTCAAATGTTAACATACTCTTAAAGCTGTAAAGTGCTGTTTTTGGGCCCCATTTGGCCGTTTAGAATAAAGTTAAACATAAAACTGCTTTTCAATGTTATTCGTGGGTGCATCATGCACTTGGCTACTCTCCTTACTTACAATACAATAAACGCTATCTTATCTGTAATAAAAGTGAACACTTACGATTGCAAACTCCCGCACAAACCTGCGTGCAAACGTTTTCTCTCATTAGATATATATTGCTTTGAAATCGTCCCCCAGTGTTAGATCATGCACATCTCCTCAGATGTTCTGCGTACAGATAGATAAATTTCTCACAGTTCCAAAAGCCATGCAACTCCCCAAGCTGAATATCGCGGTGACAGTGATTTATTCGAAGGGATCAAAGAGCATATAATACATGTCCGTGATACCATCCCATCGTAACTTAAAAAGCTTCACTGCTATCACAGAAGCCAAAAAAGGAATAGTAAACGAAATTTTCATGCCCACCCTTCCAAAATTTACCACTTTCTCTTCTTACCCGGCCATACAAACGTCAGTGCCAACATATCAACACGATGGCTAAAGAGGGGCGTTAAACCGAGCCATATTCATCATTTATCCAGTCAAAGTTATATTTTTTCATTACCCGGCCACACCGACCTAGAGGCTTTCATGCCCACATGGAAGTCGACGATTGAAAGTAAACGGAGTTTTCGTTTCCATTCCTTGGACCCCTGTTAGATCCTCTCATTAACCAGGCATGCCTATCTCAAGGCCTCCATGACCGCACGGAGGCCTATGAAGAAGCTCAGCCGAGTACTCATTCTTTTCTACCAGACGACCATTGCCCTATACCTTCTTAATCACCTTGCAAAGAGCGAGGGTTTCTATCGCTAACTCTGTCATAGAGACGCATGAGCGCATACCAAGGTACCAGGAAAGATAAATCTGCTATGCACCTCCCCAAACCTGTGTTTGTGTACGGCCTGCGCTACAGATTCCGAAATATTTGCAGGCCTAGTGGCGATAAATAAGAATACAAGCTTGACCCATTGAAATGAAAGACAACCTCAAACATGATATAATTATCTGATATACATGCCTCTCTTACCCATGTTTACTCACTGTTTGCTGTTGGCCAGATTATTAAGAACCAGTATGATATTTTTCACAATATTTTAAATTTTCCAAAACTGACGTAATTACGGCAGTCTTCTCTGTGTGCAAATCGATTAACCTGTCCACCTTTCTATCTTTCCAACGCGTCCCTTCCTCCAAGCCTCGTCCAAACACTGCGATGAAATATTCCCAAACGCCTGAATGCTTGGAGTTTGGATTGCGTTCTGCTGCAGGACTAAACAGTCAAACTCAAACCGCTACCGACTCCTGTGCTATGATAGCCTACACTGTGTACCGAGTATATGTGTGCATTTGACCAACAAAAATGCTACATTGAAATACCTTTGCTAACTACAAATCAACATGTGCTTGACACTGTTTTTCTAAGAGGTCAGACTGACCGTTCTTCTTCCCATTTATCTGTATCCGCAACAAATTTGCGAAACTTTTGTACCATTCCATCGAACCAACTTATTGGTCCGTGTGTCGCACAGTCCAGAAACAACCAAATTTTTTCTCTTACGCTACTTCGGGACGCTGTTGCCAGTCAACCAATTCCTGTCTCAGCTCACTAAGATATTTATTGCACGAGCAGGGTTGCAGGTCCTGGTCGTTCAGGAACATAGCTAAATGGGTCCCGTCTTCTAAATAGCTTCGTAATATCTGAATTTCGGTTCCCGTCTTTGTCGGGAACTAAATCTGCTTTGCGATGTACTTGGACAGGACAGCTACTTTCAGCTGTTAACAGTCCTATTTTACACCATGCACTGTCTACCTGCATTAATTCACGGATTTAAAAGCTTGCAAGTCGAATTTACATTGGTAAAACACAAATCACTACGCTATAACACTGAAAGTCGTAGACAGTGTACTAATGAGTTACCAACCACTTTAATCTTGGTGCAACAAGTGGTGAACGTCTTTTGTAACCTATTAATTTAATGCTTTTTCTAACAAAAGATGTAGTATGTACAGTGTTTTGCTGCGGGGAATACACCTATCGCAATATATGATTGTTCGTGAGAGGTATGCAATAGTCGATCACGTTTAAGTTTGCCGACGAATGAGACTTGCGGTATAAAAGTTACAATAAATACAGGGTCTATTTGTCCTAGATTTCAGTTTCAAAGAATCAGGGGTTCAACTCTAGAAACCATAAGTTTTTGAACTACGGAATACTGCTCGAGCATCCACATCAATCTTTGAAAAGCGGATCAGCTTGTTCTTAAAGGTAGTTCAGATTACCTTCACACGGTATAGTCGGATATTCCACGCAATTGACATACCGAGAACTCTACCGCTCTCATGGATTTGAGCCTATTCGGACTCTAAGAATGGATATTAAACTTCGCATGTTATTCGGAATCATAGGGCTGGCGATAGTGTTCACCGGTCTTGTAACGTCCGACACCCAATGCGCAATTAGTCACTTAAAAGCACGGTTCCGAGTTACGCTATTAAAATCCGAGTAAACCCTTTCCTGACCGAGTACCCGTAATTCCAGTATAAACGTCCGAAACCATCAGGACAGCCGCAGGGCTAGCCACTCATACTAGATACGATTAAAGTACAAAACGTACGTTCCCAGTTAGGATCATTTCTCTTCTTGTGGCTGACATTCAGTGGCAGTGCCAAAAAACCATGATGAGCTCTTATATCTCCATCCGCTAGTCATTTGTTTTGCCAAAAATTAGCGGTACACATGTCTTTCGATTCATGGACATAATTACATTTAGCAAAATCGGCTGCTTGGGTAAGAATGGTTTTACAGAAAAGTCATACATTGAGTCTCCTTCAACAGTTGGGTATCGCACAAAGATAAGGCGGCATAAGCGCGACCGCTTCCTTGCACCTTACACTACCCGGCGCCATAATCCATCATTACAGCGCAGACAACTCAGCAACAAACACACTTTATAGGTAGAAATACCTCACGTCTAAACTCATTCAGACAGCCATCACATGCATGGAAAAGTACTGCACGCGCGTTTCATCCTTTCAGGAATCGTCAGCAGTGCGCATTCCATGGGACACTGGAAGGGCTGGAACCCGCAATTCCACTGTTGCCAGTCCCTAGTTGAGACCACTGAGCTAGGAGGAGGACAACTACCATCGTGAATGAGTTACTAGATGTTGTATAGTGCCGCTCACTGTCCACTGACTTGCACGGCACTGCCGTGCAGAGGAAAGGTAGCCCCTCACCAAGCGACGAACTTACCAATCTTAAGCTGCCAAGTAACTTGTAGCATTATAAGCAGTTTGGTCTGCGTAATGAGTACAATGGAATAGCAGGGGCAGTTAAATCTATTTGTTCTTCATAACCGTCAGAGCATCTCGTCAGTTAGTTTGGTCTCGCACATTGTTTACCAGTTCACCTGCAGCTGAAGTGCCCGTTCTATAGGCAGAACTAACCGTCAGTTAGCTCGGAGAGTAAGGAAGCATTATTCAATGCCTTTGATACAAGTGATAACGTGGCAA